AACTGATTGATTTTAGCCTTATCACATCTCAGAGCTCCGGGTTCGATGATACACCAAGCTCAGGTTCCTGGTAATAAGGAGTACAAACTTGTTCCTCCATACCCAGCCTGCAGATTGTTTTTTGTTTGTTTGTTTTTTTCCAGAGCTGGGAAGATATGATGACTCTTACAAATAGTAAGAGTGGACCTGGTTTGGGATTTGGGGAAGAGAGGAGAGAAAGAGATGATAGGTAGGGAATAAAGATTTAAGTTGCATGAGAGGGTGATTCCTGGAGCATAATCCTGGAAGAGTGTGGACTGGACCAAGGATGCAAGTAGAGTGTCTTACAAGTCTTGCAAGGAGTGTAATGTGTTGTAGCAGAAGAGTGCTCAATTTGAATTTATAAGACCAGGATTCAGATTATTGCTCTGCCGTTTACTACAAAATTGATATGACCTCAGGCAAAATAAGGGTGTTTGATAAATAATCTCCAAGGTTCCTTTGTGTTCTAAATTTTTGAGTCTATAATGTGTCATGTGAGGATGCAACTGTTTTTTAAATTTTTGAAAACATTAATTACAGAGTTTGGGAAAAGACTTCATCTCTATATAATCCAACCAATATCAGAAATGAATCCCCACTTTAACATACCCGACCAATGGACATCCAACCTCTGCCTAAAGATCTCTATTGAGGAGGATCCTGCCATCTCCCAAGAGACTGCATTCAACTTTAGAAAGTTCTTGACTATTAGGATAGTTTTTCCACTTTGTAACTTCCATCCATTGCTCCTGGTTCTGCCTTTTGGGCCTAAAAAGAACAATGTCCTTCTTCCACATGAAAGCTCTCCAGATAATTAAACACAACAATAAGCTATTCTGTCTTCTTCAGATTCAGTGTACCTAGTTACCACAGCTGATCTTCATATGACATGGACTCAAGTCTGTTACCCCGTTTACCCTCTTCTGGATACTCTCCAGTTTATCAGTATCCTTCATCAGCTGGAACCCAGAACTGAACACAATACTCTAAGTGTGGTCTGATCAGGAAAGACTGTCACTTCTTTATTCCTGAAAGTTCTACCTTCTTAATGTAGTCCAGGAGACATTAGCTTTTTTGCCTGCCATGTCATACATACCATTAACTTATATCGAAGTGGAACACTACACCAAAACCCTTGATCTTTCTCAGACAAAACTGTTACTTAACCTAATTTTTTTTAACCTAAGTTTAAGACTGAATCACCAATAATTTTATCATAGCAGATTTATCCCAGTGCTCTAGCTTCTCATGATCTTTTTTGTAACCTAACTCTTGTTATTCAGGGTATTAGCTATCCCTCCCAGCTTAAGGTCATGTTACAGTTTGATAAAGGATACTATCTATGCTTTTATACAAATCATTAATTTTTTAAAATGTTAAACAACACAGGACCAACCACAGGTCTGATACACTCTGTAAGAGACTTCCTCCCAAGGGAAGCACTGAACATTAACAACTATTTATTGAGACTGGTCATTCATCTAGCTCTAAATTCATCTAACTATATTAACATATATATTATATTATATACATATAGTATATTATATATAATATATATTGATATGTAACTGTATTAACTATATTAATATCTAGCCCACATCTCTCCTATTTATTCCCTAAGAATAGTATAAGATGCTTTACCAGATGCTTTGCTAAAATCTAGGTCAACTATATCAGTCAAACCATCAGTAATTATTTATTAAGCACTTACGTGTGCCAGGCACTGTGCTGCTCAGCACTGGGTATACAGAGAAAGGCAAAAAACAGCCTTGTTCTCAAGGAGCTCACAGTCTAACAGAGGAGACAACATGGCAACAATTGTGCAAATAAGATATACACAGGATAAATCGGAGATAATCGACAAAAGGAAGGCACTAGCATTAAGGATAATCACGAAAAGGCTCGTGCAGAAAGTGGGATTTCACTTGGGACTTGAAGGAACCCAGGAGGTACAGATGAGAAGGGAGAGTATTCCAGGCTTGAGGGACACAGCCAATTCTGTGAAAATGCACAAAGTTGAGATAAAATGTCTTGTGCAAGGAACAGCAAAGAGGCCAGTCTGACTGGATCATAAAGTAGATGGAAGTGAGGTATAAATAAGACTGGAAAGATAGGAGGGGGCCAGATTATTAAGTGCTTTAAACACCAAACAGAAGATTTTATAGTTGATCCTGGAGGTGATAGCCTTTGCAGTTTTTTGAATAGAGCACTGAGATGATTAAACCTGCACTTTAGGAAGCTCAGTTTGACAGCTGAGTAGAAGATTGACTATAGTAGGGAGAAACTTAGGGCAGGGAGACTTACCAGCATGCTATTTCAATAGTCAGGGTGTGAGGAGATGGGGCCCTGCCCCTGAGTGGTGATGGTGTCAGAGGAGAGAAGGCACATAAAAGCTTTTTCCAAAGAAAAATAGACCTTGGCACCTACCCAGCAAAACTGAGTATAATCCTTCAGGGGGAAAAATGGACATGTAGTGAAATAGAGGACTTTCAAACGTTCTTGATGAAAAGACCAGAGCTGAATAGAAAATTCGACTTTCAAGTACAAGACTGAAGAGAAGCATGAAAAGGTAAACAGGAAAGAGAAATCATAAGGGAATTATTAAAGTTGAACTGTTTACATTTGTACATGGAAAGATGAGACCTTTCTCAGTATTAGGGTAGTAGAAGGGAATATATATAGACAGAGGGCACAGGGTGAGTTGAATATGAAGGGATGATATCTAAAAAATAAAATTATGTGAGAGGATTGTACAGGGAGAAGGAGAAAGGGAGAAGTAGAATGGGGTAAATTATCTCATATGAAAGAGGGAGGAAAAAGCTTTTTCCGTGGAGGAGAAGAAGGGGGAGGTGAAAAGGAATGAATGAATCTTACTCTCATTGGATTTGGCTTAAGGAGGGAATAACGTACACCCTCCATTGAGTATGGAAATCTGTCTTACCCTACAGGAAAATAGGTGGGAAGAGGATAAGAGAGGAGGAGATGATAGAAGGGAGGGCAGATTGGGAGAGTGGGTAATTAGAAGCAAAAACTTTTGAGGAGGGACAGGGTCAAAGGAAAGAATGAATAAATGGGAGGTGGGATAGGATGAAGGGAAATATAGTTAGTTTTTCACAACACAGCTATTATGGAAGTGTTTTGCATGACTACATATGTATAACCTGTATCGAGTTGCTTGCCTTCTCAATGAGGGTGGGTGAGCAAGGAGGAAGGGAGAGAATTTGGAACCCAAAATTTTAAAAACAAAGATTAAAACTTGTTTTTACACACAACTGGGAAATAAGATATACAGGCAATGGGGCATAGAAATCTATTCTGCCCTACAGGAAAATAGAAGGGGGAGGGGATAAGAGAAGGGGAAGGGATAGAAGGGAGGGCAAATCAGAGGAAGGGATATTCAGAATGCATGCCATCTTGGACTGGGGGAAGGGGAAAGTTGGAACTCAAGATCTTGTGGAAGTGAATGTTGAAAGCTAAAAATAAATTAATTTTAAAAAATAAAAATAAAAATTCACAACCTGTCCCCAAAACATCTTTCCAGACCCACTGTGTATTACTTGCCCTCTCACAGTCTGAAATCAAGCCCTACTGGCTTCTTTGTTTCTCATAAATGACACTCCATCTTCTCTTTGTGATAGCACCAGCCATCCTCCCCCCCCCCAGTCTAGAAGGTATTTCCTCCTTACCTCAAAGAATCCATTCTTCCTCTAAAATACAGCTTAAGCACCATTTCCTTATTCCAAAGTGCTAGTGCTCTCCCTTGCAAAACTACCTCGGTAGTGGAGTTTAAGTAGGAAAATGACATGGTCAGCTCTGCAGTTAAGGAGAATCACTTTGACAACACTGGGGAGGATGGTCTACCATTATGGGGAGAGGTTTGAGATAGGGAGATCAATGTTAGGAGGCCTTTGCAAGAATCTGAGCAAATGAGGCAGCTAGGTGGTGCTGTGGATAGAGCACCGGCCCCAAAGTCAGGAGGACCTGAGTTCAAATCCAGCCTCAGACCAAACACTTGACACTTACTAGCTTTACCCTGGGCAAGACACTTAACCCCAATTGCCTAAACATAAAATAAAATAAAATAAAATCATCTCTTCTTAATCTGTTTTCCAGGTCATTTGTCTAAGATTTTATACTAGATGTAGATCTTATACTAAGCTGTTAACTCCCAATTCAAGTCTTTCTTCTTAATATCTCCTTTCTTTTCTAATTCTTTTTTCTAGCGCTCTCATTTCATTTGTGATATATATATATGTATATATTTATATATTTAATTCTTGTTCATTTCTTGTACTAATTCTGGTTTACAACCTATATTTTTCTTTGAAGCTTTTCTTATAAGTGATTTTGTGTTATTTCCTTCTTCTGGCTTTTTGTCTTGAGCATCCCTGGCGCTGTATTAGCACTTTTGGATGGGAATCCTTTTTGTTGTTATTGTTTACTCATTCTTAAGCTTTACTTTCTAATTGGTACTTTGTATAAGGGCCAAGCTCTGTGCACTTCTGCAGGGAATGTCTTGGCTTTATTTGGTACTGTTTTGTATTCCTTAGGGTCTTAACTGCTGCTTTCTGTAGGTATTGAGTGCTTTATATTTTTCAGGGATCTGAAGGGAGGGCTCAAGGCAGGAACTTAATGTGCAAACTTTCAGTGTGCCCTGAGTTCACAAAGGGCAAAGTCAAGGGAAAAATCTGATTGCTGCCTACTTGGTCTGTGCTTTTCAAGCCCCTGACACCAGTTTGCATCTGGGTGATAGGCCAGCCTGTGGTTGGAGCTCCAATAGACTGCTGCTGGCCCCAGACCCTTTCACCTAGCTGGAAGACTACAGATTCAGAGCAATAGAACTGCAGGCTTTCCCTTGGTCTGAGCTTCATACTTTGGTCACTAAACTGCAGGCCTCAGACTAGGCTGGGATCTCAATGCATTACCTGACTGAAGTGGATCCGTGTCATATAGTTGCTGTTTACTTTTATCTTTCTCAGCACAAAACCTCAGGCTAGATGTGAACTGGATCTGTTGGATGGGCAACTCTTTCTTTTCCTGGAACACAACTGCAAATCAGCCTCATTGCCTAGCCCTTCTACTCAGCTCTGGAGCTACAGAGTTCAACCAGCTCCTGCTCTTACTTCTACATAGTTAGGGTGAGTACTTTGCTGGATCCATATCCACTTTTGCTCTGGAATACATCTGCAGGTCATACCTCACTCGGGTTCCCACCTACATCCTCTCTGTATGTGCAAACCAGCTCTGGGGTTAGAAAAACACCACACAGCTGCCTGCTGGCTCCTATTCCTGTTCCTTAAGCTAGAAAAATGACTCAATGTATTTTCTCCTTGAATTTCAAACTCTCCCACCCCCCACCTTTAACCTCCCTCCATCCTCACTACTTTGTCACTCATCTTAGATCTTTGTTGGATTAATTGTGGGGAGAGCTAGGCTATACTGCATCCTCCTAGTCCACCATCTTAGCCATTCTCCTCTAGTAGTCATTTAATAGATACTTTTAAGAGCATCTCAGTATATGTGCTGTGTTGAAAGAGTTTTGTTTGGAGTGGCTCTCCCTAGACAAGGAGTGATTTTACTAAGCAAAATTAATAAGACAGCTGATTTTACTACCTACGTGACTCCCGTAGAGACATCATAAAAGGAAAACCAAATGGAAGACTGCTTATTTTTGCAATCTATTTTGTAACTTTGATTTACAATCAGAAATTCTATGTAACTTTAATTTACAGAAGTAAGGGCCCCTAAAGAGTATTATTATACATAGGATACAAATCTTTTCTGTTTTGGTTGTTTTTCCCCTGGAGACTTGCCATGTTATTTGTCTAACTATCAGGAGATCATCATATTGATAAGCATTTAGAATTACACTTGTCATAGGTAAATTATCTGTTTCAAAGCTCTCATTTTATAAATTAGGAAACTGAGGCCTAGGAAAGAAAAGTATATATTTTTAAAGTCAGACAGCAGAACTAGATCTACTTGCCAAAGCTAGAACAAGACATTTATGCACCATAGACAAGGTTCAAAAATTGTGCCCCAAATAGGACTGTCTCTTAGAGGTTTTGAGTTTTATATAATACCTGTAATTTGACTTATTATAAAATTAATATCTGTATGCTGTGAAGAATAGACTTCTCTAGCATTGAATATTTGTGCATAGATTTTTTAAAAAATTAGTCTCTTGAGTTAACCCCCTTTCTCCAGCATATTACATATTAAGCAGCTTGCCTCCCCACTAGAACTAGGCCTGTTAAACTCCAAGGGTTCTTTCTGCTATGCCATAATATCTCATTTCATCCCTCATATTCATACAACTTCCTATCATAACCCTTCCAGGGAGCAAAACCAAGAAACAGAAAGGTAGTCTCAGATCACTCAGACAAAAGCCTGAGCAAGCAAATCAGATTAGACTGAATTCTGATGGCTCTAGAATAAAACTATAACAAATATTATAATCATGCCATCTCTTATGTGTGAAAATGACATTTTAGACCTCAGTCAACAAGCCTTTACTAAGCTCTTATACTCTAGGTACAAGGACAAGAATGCTGTCAAGGAGCTTTAGGGGAGATATCCAGTACATCTCTAAGTTTATACAGAAGAAACACTAAATAAATATAGGTTGATTACGGGGAGAGGGCACTAGCAGAAGTACTGAAAGGCTTCATGGAAAGAGCAGTGCCTAAGCCCAGGGGTGGGGAACCTATGGCCTTCTAGGTTCTTGGGTGTGAGCTTTTGACTGAGTCCAAGTTTTACAGAACAAATCCTTTTATTAAGAGGATTTGTTCTGTGAAGTTTGAATTCAGAAGGCCTCACTTAAGGACCTAGAGGGCCACATGTGGCCTCAAGGCTGCAGGCTCCCCACTCCTGGTCTAAGTTGAGACTTGAAGGAAGTAAGGGATTCTGTAAGAAAGCAGTGATGAAGGGCCATTCCAGGCATGAAAAACAGTGCCTCTGCACAATCAGGAGATGGAGAGTTTGTGAGGACCAGAAATGAGACCATTTTTGGCTAGACCACAGAATTCAGGAAAGGAGAAGAGAGGTTAGTAAAATATATTAAGGCTAGAAAAGGAAGTTGGAGCCAGGTTGTAAAGGATTTTAACTGCCAAAGAAGAATTTCTATTAGATCCTGAAGGCATTAGACAGCCCCTAAAGTTTGAGGAGGAGAACAACATGGTCAAACCTGCAACCTCCTTTATAATATCTCCTTTCTAATTTATTTGGGAGTTTTTCCCCAAAAGGGCATTGGATTTTGATTTAGAAGACTTGAGTTCAAGTCCCAGCTCTACTACATACTTCTTGAGTGACATTGGACAAGTCACTTCTCTAGACCTTAGTTTGAAGGCCTAGATGATCTCCAAGGGCCTTTCTGACTCTTAGTTCATGACCTTACGTTGGTGAATATGTACTTGTCCATCTACCTCCTCAACCATTGCCACAGTAAATAACAGCACTGATTTGTGAGACAACTAGCCAGGATGAGGTATACAATATATATTCCTGGAATAGAATGAAAGCTAACTGGCTAGGAGAAAAATCAGACAGGACTTTGTCAGCAGGGCCTTGGCCTGTCACTAAGTTAACTAGCTCTAGACAGACATGTCACCAAAGGAATAGATTCCAAAACCACACATGTTATTTGTTATTTCTAATGACTTGATCTATGTTAAATATGCTTTTAAGCATTACCATATTACAACAATGATTGTTGAAATTGTCACTTCTTATAACCACCTGACTTGTTAGAGTTTGTTTACATGTACAATCTTTTACGGGGGGGAAGAAATGTGACTTTTAAATATTTTCCATAAATTCAGAGACAATTTGAAAAGAGAATGTAGTACAATAAAATAGGATAATTAAGCAAGAAGAGTAGAGAAGCCATGCACTTAAAGGTAATTACAGCAAACCCTCCACTAGTGCTACAAGGCAAGAGGCCAAGGTCTAAGTGATTTTTAACCACGATCAGGACTTGAAAGGTAAAAAGGAAAGTGGATGCTATTCCACTGTGTGCCAAATAGCTAAGGAAACATTTATTAGCCTTTCTCTTGCCAAAAAAGATACCTGATATTCAGAACGCCCAATTTGAAGTCAGATCTAGATTCTAATCCTACTTCTGACCCTAGCTGCATGACCATGAGCAAGTCATTTAATCTTTCCAAGTTTTAAATTTGTAAAACGGGGTTAATAAAATGTATTACCTACCTCAAAAGGTTGTTATAGGGCTCAAAGAAAACATAAACTGCTTTGCAAATCTTAAAGGGCTATGGAAATGGCATGTGGTGGTCGTGGTGGTGGTAGTAGTGGTAGTCTAAAAGAAACTCTTTCATTATGCTTAACCTTGTGACCCTCTCTCATATCTCAGTGACATTTCACTCAAAGCACTCATGAAATTTATATGGAAAGAACACTGCGGTAATTTCTCTCTTTTTTTTCCTTTTTTTAATTTTTTCATTAATTCCTCTTTTGCCATAAACCTGCTGTATGACCTTGACCAAATCATTTACCCTTTCTGATCCTCTTCATCTAGAAAATGATGAGTTAATGCCAAAGAAAGAATATGTATACAATGATCTGCTTGGGGAACAGAAAGAAAATATTAGAACTTCTATTTGTAGTTTTTATCTAAAAAATTTTAAGAAAGTGAGCTAGTTATATTTGATACGCAGATTGATACTGATACCCTTACTTGGTCAGTGTGTTACATGGTTACGTGTCACATATGGTATTCAGGTGTTTCACAGGTAAACACACGAGTAACACCATTTGTTGGACAGGAGAACACGGGAAGGCTCCTAACACTAACAGGTGTTCTAGCACAGGTTCACTTTTGATCCAGTCAGACAGGAAGATAGTTTGGAGGGGTTAAATAAGCTTACTTTATTCTAGTCTAGTCTTCTCAGAAGGGTTGCTGATAATGGGAGCACCAACTCCTACAGTATTCCCTAAGCATACTTCTTGCAGGGGCAGGCAAGAATAGGAGTATAATTCCTTCAAGTCTCCTAAGCCTCAGTGAGGGCCAGTTGAGGCAAGCACACAGACTCCCCCAAGCCTTGATGGGGACCAATCAAGGCAGGTACAAGCAGTCCTGTATGCATTAGCCAAATCCCCCAAATGGGTCCCCCACTCACTGACCAGTGCCCACTTGCTTTTTGGGCAACACACAAAGAAGGCATCTTGCCAACATTAAGCACACAGGTTAACTTTGGCAATATCGTCAAGACCTAGCATAGGGCAGGTGTACATTATGGCATTCCATGCAAGCGTGGTGGAGATGTTCTCGACCATAATCCATAGGAAATATTATCTAGGATCCTGGAATGATCTTGGAACTAAAAAGACTAACAAAATCCTCCTTACACACACTAAAATTCACCTTACTTACAGCAAGCTATCCTGAGAGAAAAATGGGAATTCCACAGAACAGAAAGTTAATTGTGGTGTCTTCATTCATTTGTTCGCATTTGGCATATTGTGACATAGTGCAGTTTACATATTCATAGTCAGGTGGCTTTATGGATTATATTATCTAGTTTTAGCTAAACTAACCCTCACCAAATGGACATGTGGTTTTACAGGATTTCTTCAAAGAAACCTTGGATTGATTATAATGTTAATAATTCAAGCACAAACAATAAAATGTTAGAGCTGCATTTTGTACCCCTCGTAGTAACTTCTTTATCAAACATATTAACAAGTTTTACACACACACACACACACACACACACACACACACACACATATTTATAAGTTGTATGTACTACTGTATTAACATGTGATAGATACTATAAAACGTTCACAAAACAAACTTAAAAGGATGAAATAAAACAGCAAAAAAATTTATTCGTCAGAGTGTACAGTCAGAATAGTTTGGAACCTCTGGCATAGAAGATGTCTTAAGTCTAAGGTCTCTCCTAGATCTAGAATTTTCTGCTTTAAGAAGTCTGGAAATTCACACACCTGCTCCCCTTAATTAGTGGAAGAAAATCTCTGCTTTCTCTGTTAGACTTCTTTTCTCAATAGTTGTCTCTCTTAATGTTGCATCACTGCTACTTCCCTATTGCCCACTATGCTTCTCTCTTATAGGCAAATGGACTTGAAGAAAAACGAAAGACGTGTTCACTTCCTAAAAATA